CTACATGTACATTCTCTTCGTCATGACGCTCTTCGCTGCCACCGTGGGCAGCCTCATCCTGGGCTACACCCGCTCCCGCAAGGTGGACAAGCGCAGCGACCCCTACCACGTCTACATCAAGAACAGGGTCTCCATGATCTGAGCCTGGCCCAAGCCTTGTCCCTGGGGAGCCGCTGGCCTCGGGGTCACCGTGCTGCACGCATCCCGCTCGCTGTGGGATGTGACAGTGCTGCTGGCCCCAAAGCTTCTGGGAACCCCCCAAAGCTTCTGGGAACCCCCCAAAGCTGCTGAGAACCTCCCAAAGCTGCTGGGAACCCCACCATGGAGGAGCTCAGTCCTGGTGTGAGCAGCGCTGGGATGTCCTGGCTGGCAGGAGCTGGGACAACATGACCTGCAAGCAGGTCCTGGTCCTGCAGACCCACCTTGGCTCCACTGTGGGTATGAGGATGGCAGGGGCAGCTCCTTTCCCACCGTGGCCTGCAGGGGCTGACAGGAGCCTTCGAGGAGAATATTTCTCCATTCCCTACTCAGATCAGCCGGCGTTGACCTCCCTGGGCTCCCAGCAGCTGTGACAGTGGTTCATGGGTTTTTTCTGGTGCTGAAACCCTGTAATGTTTGAGCTGGGCTGGGCCCTGCTTTTCTGGTATGGAATTAAAGGAGGTGATGGGTTCCAGGGGACTTGTGTTTGCTTCTGCTCCGAGCATAGTTGGTGTTTGGGGCAATACACGGGGCACCACTCTGTGCCAGAGCCCAGGGGACACTGAAAGGGCTGAACCTGCTGCCTGTGTGTTGCCAAGGTGGATTCAAGGGCTGCCCTTCAGTGGCATCACGGCCCCTGTGATGGGAGAGGTTCCCCAGGATGGAGCGAGCCCCGCGTTCCCGGCTGGACGCTTTGTCCCCGTTGCTGTCCGAGTGGCGCTGCTGGAGCCGTGGGCACGCTGCGAGCGTGGCCCGAGCCTGGCCGGAGGCGTGTGGCTCCAAGCATCTCCCAAGGTTTCTCTGGGCTCCGGATGGTGATGCCGGAGTCTTTCCTGCTTCCTTCCTGCTGTCAGCTGTAGCTTTGGCCTTTTGTACCGCAGGTCCCAAATGTGTTTTCCATGGGGTGAGGGCGCAGCTGTGGACGGGAAGGGGATGTTCTTCGGTTCTGCTGGGCTCCTTGGCTTTGGCTCTGCTATTAAGCTGTCTGGGTTTGGACCTGGCCTGTGGAGTGGCCAGTGTCCAGGACAGTAAACGTCCCTGTCCTTCAAAACAGGCTGTGGGGCAGTGCCAGTGACCCAGCGTGCTGCACGCCTGGACCTGTTCATAATGGCATAATGAATATCTTTAATTGCAGCTAGATTAGCTGGCCCATAGGGGCCTTTCCGCCTGCATTCCAAGGTTAAACACAGTTGCAATCCCGAGCCCAAACAGTGACGCCAAACCCTAATCCAAAAAATAATAGTGGATGTGAGCGTGTTTGGGGTAGGGCTGGAAAGCTTGGCACCGGAGGCACCGGGACGGCAGCAGCTTAGTGACCAATTCCTGATTTGCCATGCCCTTGGCTTGGACACAAAACCTGGAGCAGGGGTTCTGGGCAGCCCATTTTGGGGCTGATCCCACTGGGATTCCTGAGCCAGGCAGGGCTTTCTGGGGCGCAGGTGTCCTCCGGCACCTGGCCTGAGCAGGAAGTAGCTTGAGAGGCTTCTCTCTGTTTATCTTGCACCTGCAGTGCTGGGAAAGGAAAATAAACCCTTTATCTGCAAATAAATCAGGGGAATCGGGCCAGGTGGGGACAGAGACACATGCTGTGCTGATCCTTTTCCCTCTGGGGTTTGTCCTCCTCTAACACCAGCTCCTCCAGTGGGATGAGCTGTGGAGCAGCCAGGGCCAGGATGTGGGACCCTGCAATGGGATGGGGGCTGGATGGTGAGCATGGTATCCCAAAATCCCCCCAGTGATGTGGAATTCTTGCTTTTCCAACATTTTGGAGAGAGGGATGAATCTGGTGACTCCAGAATCTCTTCTGATGCTGTGACCCAAGGAAGAAAATCCTGTTGAAGGACAGCATATCATAAAAATTTTGGGGGAAAAAAAAAATTAAATAATGCTGCTCTTTCCTAATCCAGAAGATTCTGAGGGTGAAAATCCCCCCTGCAAGACACAGCAATGCTTACCCAACCGATCTGCGATCCATTGGCAGCTCCACTGTCCATCCATCCCTGCCGGTAAATTCGGGAAGGGGCAGGGCTGGGGTGATGCCCCGGGTGCCCCACCCCAGAGTTGCCGGCTGGATGCCACCAGGCTGGGTGACAAGATGCCAGTGCCACCTTGTGGCAGCTGCCTCAGTGTCCCGGTGTCACACACACCTTGGCACCCTTGGGGTGAGAGCAGGGACTTGTATCCGCGGAACCTCCGGCTCCTGTCTGGCTGTCCTTGTCCCCATGGCTCCAGCCTGGCTGGTGTCCCCATGGGATCCAAGGTCTGGGGCAGTTTGGCAAACATCCTCAGCACTGGATTGTGTTCTGAGGGATACAGAAACAGGGATATGTGAGGGAAGGATGGGTTTGGGAGCCTCCTGAAATGGGTTTGCTTCAGAAGCCAGGGGAAGGATTTTGCAGTTATTTAGTTGCTTATCCCAGAGCTCAGAGATTCTTCCTTGGAGCTGATGGGCTCTGGCCTAACTCCCTGGACTGCAGCCCCAGGAGCAGATGATTCCTGGGTCACACTCACAAAGCTTTTGTTAACAGCAGGGAGATGCCCTCAGAACACAGAGAGAAGAGCTGGGAGTGTGCCGGTCTTAGCTGAATCCTTAAATCCAACTGAGCAAGTTGTAGCTGACTACATTTGAGGTTTAAGCAATGTGGCTAGGAAAAAAAATTAGGCTCCTGGGAGGCCACTTTATTTAAGGCTTTTGCTGTTGGCTCACAGCAGTGGATCATGGGCGAGATGGTGTCTGGTACTTGGCAAAAGGATATCGAAAGGTGTGGGAAGCTGGTGCTGACCTTGGCAGAGCGGATCAATGGTTGGGTTGTTGGGGCAGTGGGAATCACAGGAGCCTGTTCCTGGGACTGCTTTGATGCTGGGCATTTCGATAAGGAATGCACCAGGTGAAATGATCATGGCTCAGGGTGAGAGAACAATGGCAGCAGTGAGTGCTGAGATGCCAGCATGGGCTGCCTCGGGTCCTACTGGTTTGGAACGGGTGGCACAGCCTGAGTGAGCAGTGGGAAACTGCGTTCCAGGGGAGCTGCTCCTCCAGGAAAGCGGGCAGTGCTCTGGGAGCAGGTGCTGGCCAGGGAAGAGCTGCTCTCCCCTCAGCAGTGCTGAGCCAGGCTCACATCACCGTTGCTGCTGTGCAGCCTGAGGGACAGCGGGGTCACAATGGGGAATCCAAAAATGTTGGGAATCTGGGAATGGTGAAGGGAGCTGCTCCTGCCCTCGCTTTGGGACCAGAGCAGAGGTTTTCCCAGTGGCTCTGAGCTTACAAACTGCTTTTAAAGCATATTTAGAGTGTTGTGCTCCTGAGGGGGGTAAGGAGTGTGCTGCCAGTGCCAGAGGGGGTGGGATCAGGCCTTCCCAAAGCTGATATCATGAAGCATTGAGCCAGGGGCAGTTGCAGAACTTCAAAAGCCACTTCCTAATGCCAGCAGTCCCTGCTGCATCCTTCCCACCTGCCAGCCAGTGCTCTGTGTCTGTGCTCTGCCTGTGCTCCTTCAGGACAAAGCCCTTCTCCTTCTGTGACCCCAGATCTGCTTGAAACCCAGCATTCCAGCCCCAAAAGTCACCCGTGCCCCTGCCCTGTGGGGGCAGCTCAGCAGGGAGATCCTCGATGCCCGCCTGGAGCGCTCCACTTCCCAACAATCCATGGCTCTGGGAGGGAAGGGAAAGCTGGGAGGTGCTGTGTCATTATCAGGGAACCCAAGAGGCCTGGGAGAACAAACAGGGTGTTCAGGAGACGTAAATAATAAACCAAACACTGTGCCCCAGAGCCAGGGCGTGCGCAGCGCTGAGAGGCTCAGCCACCCGCTGCAGGAACATGCTGGGGTCATCCCACACAACCCTGTCTCTCTGCAGAAACTGGAGTGGAAAAGCAACCTGGAATGTCATGGGAGCTCCAGGCTGTTTGTACACGATGTGGAATAAACAGTGATATTGCCATGGAAATGATGCTCAGACTGGGTTCCTCCCCAGGGCTGATCCTGTTTGTTGTGCGTGAGGATTTGGGCTGTGGAACCAGATCCCTGAGGATGCTATATTCTAATTCTGATGTGTGCCTTAGCCCTTCTTGTGGGCTAATCCCCCAGCCTGGGCAGCAGGGGAGGGGGGATTGTGCCCCTCTGCCCCTGAGCTCAGGTGAGAGCCCACCTGCAGAGCTGCCCCAGCCCTGGGGCCAGCAGCACAAGGAGCTGGAGCTGCTGCAGAGAGTCCAGAGGAGGCACCAGGATGATCAGAGGGATGGAGCCCCTCCGCTGTGAGGAAAGGCTGAGGGAATTGAACTTGTTTGGACTAGAGGAGCTCCAGGGTGAACTAACTGTGGCCTTCCAGTACCTGAAGGGAACCTACAAGAAAGACAGAGAGACTTTTTTATAAAGGCCTGGAGTTCCAGGACAAGTGTTTCTCAGACTGATAGAGAATTGATTGTGCTTAGAGTTTAGAAGAAAATTCTTTGCCCAGAGAAGCTGTCCCTGGATCCCTGGGAGTGTCCAAGGCCAGGCTGGATGGAGCCCTGACCAGCCTGGGATAGTGGGAGGTGTCCCTGCCCGTGGCAGGGCTGGGACTAGAATTGCTCTAGTCCCAGATGTGCTCTGTGGGTTTCCTGCTGGCAGGCAGAGAGCAGGGCTTCCCCTGGCTGCAGGAGCAATGTCCTCACGGTGCCACAGTCCTGCATGGGTGCTCGCGCTCCCTTTGGCTCAGGAGCAGCCCTTCCATCCTGCTGAGCCCTGCCACGGTCCCCACTGGCCCTGGCGGCTCCCAGCACACGAGCTGGCGGCTGCCAGCAGTCTGGCAGCCCTTCTCCTCCCAGCCTGGCTCCTATCCATGGCTGGAAGCCTGGCCTCTCCCTGGCTTTTGGTCCCTGGGCTGTTTGCTGCTGCTCGCTTTGCTCCGTGCATGCTGCGCCTCAATCGGGCGAAACGATGCGTGAGGGCAAAAACATGGGAACCTTGGCTTTCCTTCCCTCGCAGAACAATTGCCAATGTTCTGGCTTCTTTTCCACGACCGCCAGGAGTGGAAATTTTGTTGCTAGCAGCAGATGAGAAGAGATGTTTGTGCTGGCAGGCAGTGAGTGTGGGGAGGCCCTACAATGCCCCCGGAGTGCCTGTGAGAGCCGTGCTGCGCTGGGCCACCGCACACTCCTGTCATGCCAGCAGATGGGACTGGGTGTAGCTTTCCTGGAGCAAGATAATTAGCTTTAAAAATTCTTCTGGAGGCTGATTAACCCTCAAATACACTGGACTTAGTTGTCATCTCCCACGAGGTCAGTGTTGTCTCCAGGCCAATGCAGGAAATCTCCAGCAGCACCATCTAAGCTGTATCACCGTTATCTTTTTCCATGACTGCCCTGCTCTAGTGCTGCTCAGGCTGTCTGGCATCTGCCACAGGGTGCCCTGGAGCTAGAAATCCAAAGCCTTCTCACAGGGAAGCTTTTAGGAACTAATCATCACTTCCCAATATGTGCTGCTGCTAAGATCCTGG